ATGTAGTTAAAGGATATGGCAGTGTCAAAAGACTGCCGTTATTGTTATATTTGTTGTTGGGTCAAGCAAGTTATTGGATCCATGTGTTACCTGTTAAGGTTTTCTTGAGAGTTAATAATATATGTCTTATAGGAACCATAGGGAAGTACACTGAAATAATATAAGCTTACTTGAGTACATTGTTATGCTAATCACTCTCGAATGGCCGCAGTATAATAGTATGGGCAAACATTGGTTAAATTAAAGTGTTATTAAAATAAGCAAGGTTGAGTAAGAAGTTTAGAAAAGTATAGCATTTCATGTTATGGTCAATGGCATTATATTGTACAATTTATTAGAACTTGGTTTGTTAAAGGGGATTGTATTTAACTTCAAAGGAAGGGGGATGTTATGATATGAGATTCATGTATCGATACCATATATGTATATCGTTGATGACGTCACATAGCAACATATGAGGAGCGCGACAATGAAGATGAGTGGCTAATTGTAATACACACACGAAACAGCTTCTCAGTAGACCAAACCAGAGTTTATTCAAGCTAACTATTCGCCCAATAAACCAAAGCGCGTCACCTCGTTAGAACGACACCATTCGCAGACCTGCCCACCTGTGATTCATAAAAATAGTAAGGCTTTTCTTTTCTTGCAGCAGGCGGCCATTTTGTTTGTATGTTATGCGCGCAATGAATGATGGGACTAACTCTAGATCACGCGAGAACAACGTGAACGCGTGATCCAATATGGCTGCGCCCACAATCGCCAGATATTTCTCGGCTCACAATGTAAAAAACACATTAATTTTTAAGTCGTAAGTTTTTCAGTTTAATCGTACATTCGTCAAAACACTTGGAATTAGTAAGGAATACGAAAAAATCGTAAGGGTTGGCAGGTCTGAATTCGAGAGGCGGAGAGTGCGCCCTCTCTCGAGCTGCATAAGCACCTCTCGTAACAACACTAACACAACACTGGCGTGACTGCCTTTTTCTCCTCATGAAATGCACTGCAGTGCGCGTAAACTTAACTGTATAGACTAACTGATTATATAGACTTATACGGACTAACAAATACCACAAATAGAACATAATAAAGTAACATGGGTACTAAACAGAACTACTATGTACGCGTTATCGGTCAATCGATTCAATACACTACTACATGAACAACGCTGAACAGTTAGAACAGTTAGAACAGTTAGCAGTTAACAGTTAACAGTTAGAACAGTTAGCTTTTTTTCCCCCTATTTTTCATTTTGCACTGAATTTTGCCGGTGCCCGGTTGCCCGGTTGGGGCCACACCTGTGACACCTTTACCGACTGGGTAGCAGCAGTGTCCGTGCGAGGCTCTAGAGCGAGCGAGGCATCAGGTACTAAGCTTTCATGGAGATCGCGTTCTGCATCCGCTCCTGGCCATATCGTAGTAGTGGACGAATGCGCACGCAGAACATAACTCTGCGCACGGCGTACTGAAGGCGAGGTAGAGGGCCTTTTCTTTGGACCATACTGGTACACGCTACCATCGTCAAGGATGACCTGACGTCTGGCAGGCCGAACCGTTATGTCATTGGCCTCCATAAAGGGAACACCGGCCACGACATCGATGTCCATGTTCTCCACGACAAGAGCCTCGAGTACGTATTCTTTCTTTTCTCTCGACAGAATGATACGCGTCTCACCGTTGACTTGCAACTGAGAGTGTATGTCTGCTTGACATGCTGCCTGAGAACTTGCTGTTACGGTCGCACCTATGTGTCTGGCCACTGATTGGCGAATCATGTTCACCTCCGCGCCGAAGTCGAGCGTCACACATATGACATGGTGACCATAAACTGGGTTAAGGCGTGGCGACTGATTCACTTGAACTCGGCGAACTGGTGTAGACGAATTGCTAACGCCTACCTCTGTCATCTCGGCTTCCTCATAGGGGGACTCACCCTCCTGGTCACTGTCACAACAGGAGATCTGGCGAACTTTTGACATAAACCTCCGATCTGCGTCGGGTAAATTCGGACACCTGCAGAGAATGTGCTGGAACTCCTTGCGGCCTGCCTGCTCGCAAAGAGGGCACATTTTTGCTAGATGCTGGGGCTGGAAACCCTGTCGCTTTCTAGAGTCTGACGAACATTTCTGCTGGGTGAGGTGTCGGCCAGAAGCTGCCGACCGCATAACCCTGATGTCTTCTGAGGTTGTCAACTCATCCAGAAGTGACTCCAATGCCTGCGACACCTCTGGCTTAATCGAAGCCAAAGTTCTGGATCGTAGCCCGGTGCCATAGCGCTGTTTGACCAGTCGGGGAAGGTCCTTATGAATCAGCTAAAGCCACGTCAGAACAATGAAATTCTCAAGCGAAGGTGACATTCCTTCATCTTCAGACTGAATCTCACCGTGGTGACTGATGCCGCAATCCTTGGTCAAGAGATTGTCTTTGGCGAAAGCGACCAGTCTCTGAAACAGGTCCTCTGGACGCTCGTCGTGTTCGTATTTAATGTCGGCAAAATCTATGAAGTGAGCTCCAGTTGACTGAAACCCATAGTGCATGCGAATCGCTTGCCAAATGTGCTCAATGGAGGTTGAGTTTTTCACGATGCTGTTGCGTGATATCACCGGGCAGTAATTAGCGATTTGTCCCAACATTAACTCAAGCAATGAAGCTTTCTGTTCCGCGGTTCGACGACGGGCTACTGGTATGCCTTCAGCATCATTCTCAAATCCGCGTAGTGGGGAGGCCCGATTCTTCTTCTCCCATGTGACGCCATCCACCAAGAACAGTGCGAAATTAACATCCAGGGATAAATTGTACAGTAAATTTTGACGCCAATTCTCAAAGGAGTTGATGCTTTCAGTCTTGGTTAGGCACCATTGTCTGGGAGCTCTGGTTGTAGATGCCATCTCGACGTCTATCCACAGATATTTATTAAAAACGGACTATAATCGATCACGGAAGTTACTAGCCTGTTGTATCTCTGGCGGTTATCAGCTGGAATATCCCAACAGCCACCTACTGCGATGCAGCATGCTGTACCCTGTGTGTATACAGTATAGTTGTAGTAAATTAACTTACTACTGTGAGTCTTTGTTTTCCCGGACGCTGCCACCACGCCACAATGAAGATGAGTGGCTAATTGTAATACACACACGAAACAGCTTCTCAGTGGACCAAATCAGAGTTTATTCAAGCTAACTATTCGCACAATAAACCAAAGCGCGTCACCTCGTTAGAATGACGCCATTCGAGAGGCGGAGAGTGCGCCCTCTCTCGAGCTGCATAAGCACCTCTCGTAACAACACTAACACAACACTGGCGGAGTAATAAAATGCCTACGTATAACTCATAACATGGTTGAACATTGCCTCCTTATTATAGGCCATCAGGCACGCTTCACAGGAAGTATACCCCCAAATGGATAAAGCATCTGACTTAACAAATAGCGTAACCATAGAAGAAGTTATAGGTAGGATAAAGGTGGCAAAGCTGGAAAAGGCATGCGGGTGGGATGATATCCCAAATGAATTCATAAAGCATGGGGGGAAAACATTAGGGGAATGGTTAAAAGACCTATTCAACAGGATTTTAGAGAGCGAATTATTTCCGGAAAGCTGGAAAAGGAGCAGAGTCACACTAGTCTTGAAAGGAAAAAACCTGGATAGAAAACTTTAAAAAAAACTACAGACCAATAGCACTATAACTAGTAATGTGGGTAAAATATTCACAGGAATCCTTAGGACTCGCCTAGAAAACTTGCTGGAAGACCCCGGATTTATAGGGGTACTCCAAAATGGCTTCAGAAGGGACAGACGCGCAAGCGACAACATTTATATTCTGACCCAAAGCATACAAAGGGCAAAATACAGGAAATAAACCCTGTATGTGGCTTTCCTAGACTTTAAAAAAGCATACGACTGGATAGATAGAAGCAAACTACTATGTGAACTCAGAAGAGTTGGGTTAGGCGACAAATTTAGCCGGCTAATAGAGGCCATGTACGAGGGAAATGAGTCTAAGGCTAGCCTAGGCCCATATGAATCAGGTTGGGTTAAATCCACGAGAGGGATCAAACAAGGATGCTTACTATCACCGTTGCTCTTTGCCATCTATATAAGAGAGCTATCTCATAGACTAGAAAGGAAAAATAAAGAACTACGTGTAGGGAGGGAAATAACCACAGGGATGCTGTATGCTGATGATGTGGTCTTTGTAACGTTTACTGTGTTATATTTCCAGATTAAACCAATAACACTGCTTTGTCTTACTGCTGTTTATTTACCCGCCATAATAAGAGCCTCGATTTCAATCCGTCATCTCCTACACCAACTCTATCTACCGACTGTAATTAGTATCAATTGGAACACTAAATATCTGGATGGGTTATACACTACATCCCTCTTTTCCTCGGATCAGAATTATAACACGATTAATGATTTCACATGCATTACAATTATCTATATATGAATGTATTTCTATATCCGTATATATTGAAAACATTTCTCAACAATGAAAAGAACTACTGTTCAAACTTCCCTGTGTAAACTATTCCTTGTATCAAAGTCATTTTGACTCATCATGCAGATCAGTATTACAACCAAACAATGGAACGAGTAGTATCCAAAAATCACTATTCACTTTGAACTGCGCCCACAACAAATTCCTTAAATCTCTTCGGTGCTGTTCGCACGCGCACAGGTCTCTTCGGGGTCATCACTTCTGCTGGAGCTTCAGTTGCTGGATTCCCCTCCTCCGGTATCTCATCTGGTACGATGTTGCTGTCCTCATCATACTCGGCGAGTGGGCTAGCTGGTCGCTCGTTGTACTTCTTTACGAAAGAACTGTTTCTTTCGTACCTCACTCCTTGTGGTGATTCAACAATAACTTTGTTCCCCGTCTTGCTGACTAACGTGTAAGGCTCAGATTCAAACGTTGTCGAGAGTTTATTATCCTTCTCCCCTCGGAGTAGTACCCTTTCGCCTGGCATTAAGGTACTGGTCTGTGCCTTCCCTCTCTGGTCAGCGTACTCTCTCTGTGCCATTGCACAATTTGATGCCATTGTCCTTGCAACATTGCCTGAACTCAACAGACCTGAACTGTGGCCCGTTGTCAGATGAGAGTGTCACTGGGAGACCGTGTGTCACAAACATTTCCGCCAGTGCCTCAATTGTTTTCTCAGAGGTGGTGCTCCTCATGAATGCAACTTCAAAGTATCTACTATAGTAATCTACCACTACTAGCAGACTTACTCCATTTGGTAACGGTCCAAGAAAATCCACTGCCACATCCTTCCACGGTCCCTTGGGCATTGTTGTTCGCGACATAGGCTCACGTGCATTGGGCATACCAACAAGTTGGCAGCTGTGGCAAGCACGGCATTGGCGTTCAGCCTCTTTGTCGATATTCGGCCACCACAGTTTGGTTCTCAACAGTTGCTTCATGGCCACAATGCCTGGGTGCCCCTCATGAGCTAGTTCAATCGCCCATGGTCGCAGTTTACATGGCAGGACGATTCTCCTATCACGCAGCACTACATTGCCAACAACACATAGTTCATCTCGCAAATGTTTGTAGCCTGCTGACTTGCAATCTTCCCATTTCTTCTGCAGACTGATACATTGTCGCACTTCCTGTAGTTCAGCATCCCTGGCTGACTCTTCTTCGATCTCTTGTGTCGTCATAGCTCGCGGTGTCGCTGCTTTAGTGACAAACTGGACATATTCTTCAGCCACGTTCTTCTGTGCTTTTGTGACTTGTGTTAACCGAGATAACGCATCAGCAATGTTATTCTTCCCCGGTTTGTACACGACATCGAACACGTATGGCTGCAAGCGTAATACCCATCTTTCGATACGAGCAGATGGTTTCGATCTGGCTGAATAGATCACTTCCAGAGGCTTGTGATCTGTAACTAGTTCAAACGTGATGCCATACAAGTACGTATGAAACTTCTCACATGCCCACACTAATGCTAGCGCCTCCTTCTCGGTTTGCGAATACCTGCGCTCTACATCGCTGAGACTGCGGCTGGCATAGCTCACAACTCTGGGCTCTCCGTCCTGTATTTGAACCAGTATCCCGCCAAGACCGACATCCGCTATGACCTGTGTTTTCTCCCCTTGTCTAAAGTAAGCCAATGTTTCGTGATTGGCCAACCGACGTTTCAGTTCTTTGAACGACTTGGTCTGTTCCGGGCCCCATTTGAATTCTTCGCCTTTTCTGGTTAGTCTCCTCATCGGTTCACTCACACTAGCAAAATCCGGGATGAACCTTGCACTGAAGTTGACCAGGCCCAGGAAACTACGTACTTCCGCTGCGGTTTCAGGCTCCCTAGCATCCACTATGGCTCTGACCTTCTCTTCGGTTGGACCCACACCTCTGGTTGACAACAGAAGTCCCATGAATTCTATCTGTGTCAGGTTAAACTTGCACTTGTCCTTATTTAAAGTCAGTCCACGCTCATTCAATCTCTTCAGTACACTCAGCATGCATTTATCATGTTCTTCTTGTGTATCTCCATGAACGATAATGTCGTCGGAAATGTTACTGGCCCCGCATCCGGCCAGAACCTGTTCTAAGACATGCTGATATTTCTCTGGTGCTGCCGATATCCCGAACATTAACCTTTTGTACCGGAATAATCCAGCATGCGTCACGAACGTTGTTATGTCACGTGATTCCGGGTTCAACTCCACTTGGTGATATCCCCATTTTACGTCGAGTTTGCTGAATACCTTGCTGTTGTTCATCTCATGTAGCACCACATCTACGGTTGGTATGTAGTGGCGCTCACAGATGATCGCTTTATTTGCTTGCCTCATGTCGACACACACTCGAATGTCCCCGTTCGGCTTCGGTACTACCACCAATGGGCTTACCCAGCGCGTCGGCCCTTCTACACGCTCGATGATATCCATGTTAAGCAGTTCTTCCAGTTTCTGGTAGATTTTGTCACGGAGCGCAAATGGAGCTCTCCTGACAGGTTGAGCCACTGGTTGTACCGACTCATCGATATGTAGTTGTATTTGGTAATCTGTTAGCTTACCAACCCCTGTACAGCATTTTTCAAATTTCTTTTCAATGCTGTCACTTGCTATTGTGTCATTCAGTCCCACTTTCAGCACACCGAGTTGCATTGCAGTTTTCTTCCCTAGTAATGGCTGTCCACTTCCTTTCACAACCATGATCTCTGCATTCACCTGTGTATTTTGCACGACTGCTGTGCACTGAAATGTACCAATTACAGGTAATGGAACTTTAGATCCATATGCGAAGAGTTGTTTCGTACATTTCTGTGACGCACACTTGATCCGCTTTTCTTTCAGCTGCTCCCACAAAGATTGGCAGATGATGTTTGCACTGGCACCAGAGTCAATAACCATTTTCACTGGTACCCCTCCCAACTGGACTTCTACTTTGTCACAGTCAGTTTTACCGTTTACACAAAATGTGTACTCATGGTCACCATCTTCCTCTGTTGGGTTCGTTTCAGCGTAATTTACACGCTGCTCGGCGGCTTCCAGGAGTCCAACGTCTTGTCACTAGATTTACACATTTTTGCATAATGGCCATAGTTCGAACATTTACGACATTGTTTGCCTTTAGCCGGGCAAGTTACATCTTTGCCGTAATGTCCGCTTTGTCCACATCTATAACACACACCTTGGGATGGTCGCAGTGTTTTCCGATACACCCGGTCCTTTTCACCTTTAATCGGTTTATCCCTTTGCGGTTTACCCGTTACTCTATGGACAGTCTCATTTGGACACATTTCTTCCAACTGAGTCTCCACAGCTTCATAGGCACAAGCAATCTCCTGCAATTTCGCCAATGTCAGCTGTTTTCCGGTTTGTAGGAGTTTCCTACGCAGACTTGTGGACCCATATGTATGGATAATATGGTCCCTGATTTGGTCATCCTCATCTATGAATTCGCAGTTGGCAGCTCTCTCTCTCAACCGTGTGATGTAGCGGCTTATAGGCTCATTTGCCTCTGGCAGTAGCCTCTTAAACATATGTCTCTCGAACGGCACGTTAACTTGAACCACACGATGCTTTGACAATATTTCAACGGTCTCTTTAAACCTGTTTCTCACCACTACCGGTGCTGCTCCTTCACCTCCACCATCTCCTGTTTCACCAGCAGATTGGTTGACAGTTGTCTCTCCATCCCTTCTTCTTCCTCCTCGGAGTCTTCTGGGTGTAGGGTGTCATATAAATCTTGTAACCTTTGACCCCCACATGTCAACAATAAGTCTCTTTTCTGACCGTCATCAGTGATACCTTTTGCATTAGCGTACCGCCTGAAGGCTTTCAAATACTTTTGCCATCTGGGACCAACACTGGAAGGATCTCCCGCCAGATCAAACTCAGGAAATAATCCTATATCCAGCTGTTTCAGGGAAGACATCACGTCAGCTGTAGCTTGAGTTGTCAGTCGAATTTAATTTTTTATCCTCGTCGCCATATGTAACGTTTACTGTGTTATATTTCCAGATTAAACAAATAACACTGCTTTGTCTTACTGCTGTTTATTTACCCGCCATAATAAGAGCCTCGATTTCAATCCCTCATCTCCTACACCAACTCCATCTACCGACTGTAATTAGTATCAATTGGAACACTAAATATCTGGATGGGTTATACACTACAGTCTTGATAGCAGATAATAAAAGGGAACTGCAGGAATTACTAGATGGCGGCAGGCTTTGCAGAAGACTACAAAATGATGTACGGCGAAGACAAGTCTCAAGCCATGATTTTCAATAAAAATAAGGCGGAATATGAGGATGTAAATTTCAAACTAGGGAGGCTAAGTCTAGAAACCGTTAACGAATACACATACCTAGGTATTAAAATAAACAATAACATAGAAAACTGTGTCGAACTACATGAGGGTGAAGTGCGAGTAAAGGCAAGGAAATACCGAGGGATAATAGCAACGAAGGCATACTATAGCTGCAGCAGTTACTGGGTAGCGAGAGAACTGTGGAAGACAGTAGCAGTACTTGCCCTAACCTATGGAAATGACATAATCATATATAAGGATAAGAAAAAAGGTACAGGCGCTCTCAAAGCCCTTGAAAACACCCAAAATCAGCTTGGCAGGGAACTGTTAGGTGCCCCATCTTATGCGGGTATTGAAACAATAAAGGGGGAGCTTGGATGGTCCACGTTTGAGGATAGAGAAGCGAAGAGCAAACTTAAATATTTAGGGAGATTAAATTATATGGATAAAGAGAGGAAATGCAAGGGAATAGCGGAAGCTATCAGTGCAGGAAATTTTGCATCGGATTGGAATAGACGAGTAAAATTCCTGGGGGGAAAGTATGACGAAGAACAGTTATTGATAAATAGAGACTGGGAAAACAGCAAATCATGGAACAATACGGTGGAGAAAATCATTATAAAAGGCAGCACAGTCAGATGGAGAAAGGGGATGGTAAATAAAAGCACACTAGAGCTATATAAAGGGAAAATATTTCATAAACAAGAAACCTTTTACAATAATAATAAAATCGGCAGTAAGCTGCTGTACCAATGTATAGCGGGATGCCTCCCCGTAAATAAAGGAACCAGGAGATGGTTAGGGGAAGAAAATTGTGCACTGTGTGCAATAAGGGAGAACCAGAAGACCTCAAGCATTTCCTGTTAGTTTGCCCGGCATACAAACACCTAAGGAAGATCATGTGGGACAGGCTCCAAGAAGTGGGGGTCACCCCTGCACAGCTGGAGGAAAGGCAGGTGATGCTTACCATCTTGGGGCTAAATGAACATAGATGTTATGGGGATTGGGTAGAGCACGTGAAACATTACTTGGAATCAGCCTGGAAGCTTCGGAACAAAATCTCCCGGTAAAGTGAAATTACCGGAGGGAAACTCAAAAATAAAAAGGAAAACACCGATCTAAAGGTTCCCGTTCATACATACATACATACATACATACATACATACATACATACATACATACATACATACATACATACATACATACATACATACATACATATACAGTTTTAGAGCAAACAAGGAAGACCCGGACCGTCACTTGGTTATGTGCGTATGCTACTCGCTAACCGCTGTTCTTACAATAAAGCTACAAGTTGTTCACCGTTTACACGAACTCTTACGTCTATCTACGAGTTTACACCGATCACGCATAATAAATTTTTTTAGACATCAGTAACAAACGATATGCATCAGCAAACCAAATCTTAGAGGCAATTACTGAGACTCTCACTTTAATATTCCTCTCTTTTATAAAACAAAGAAAAGCATATCGGCAAGGGTAATGTTGATAAAAATATATGAATATTTAATATTCAATCAATATAACCAGCAGGCGCTAGAGAGACAGGCGTACCAGGATTTTGAAAGTTGTAGGCACGACTATTAGCGGCGCCACAAATCACGGTTGGCGGCGGAGCGCGTACAAAAGAAAATTATATTGAGGTTAAATATTCACACGCAATCGGGGACGGCACTTCACAAAGGAGTGTTATAATTAGCTGGTTCAAAATAGGGCTCATTGCCTAAACATATGAGCACCTTAATCAACTTATCAACCTATAATTAACCAAACACCAACGGTTTAGTGGTTCGCGAGTTAACAATAATAACACAAAAAAGAACAACAGAATGAATACGTTTTCGGAGAGTAGAGATGGATAGGAATGACGGACGATAAAAGAATAGACAGCACACATGATAGACGAAAGTCCCATAACTTTATAGAAGCCATATTAATATGGCATACGTTCATTAATATAAATAGATATTATCTCACTGCCTGAAATCATAAACCTACCGTCCAGGCAACGCTTATATGAAAGAAATTTGAATTATTCGGAGATAAGATTTAAAAAAAAAGAGATAATATGGCCACAAACGTGTATAGGCCCAAGGGCCTAACAAGTGAGCTACAATACTCGACAAACTAGTAACGAGCCCAAGACTGCAAGACATTGGGATTCAAACAGGATGCACACCCAACGCTATGATGATGTACCACCCTCGACTTGCCAAATATACAACTGGCACAGAATGAACCAAAAGTTACACCCTAAAATATAATATCCAACAATTATTACGATCTATAGACCCAATAGATTACATATTACGTACCCACTTATGGGGAACTGATATAAGTACCCGGAATAGACGATCCTACTCGTCACTAGCTCCATCCCAGCGACAACAATATGATGGGGCTGGCTAAATATCCATACACGCCAATGACCCTAGTATGGTAATCAAACAGCAGCAACCCACACGAACAAAACAAAAGGCAACCAACAATCCACAACGAGGACGAATCAAAGACATACAGGCGGATCGCAGAAGATCAGCGTTGTTTCCGCCAAAAAACACGAACCCGCAGAGAGCGGCGTTAAGCCTGCGCACTTCCACCCGCGGGGACTGGCCGCGACGCGACGAGCAGCGGTGTGTTGTAATGCTAGCATTTCGCGCTGCCCGCTATAACGAATTCGGCGCCGTAAGGAGGGCGGGCGGGGCGCGACATCCGTATAGCAGGAAAGCGTGAACATCGGCAGATTCTTCGTCACACCTACACGCGGGCTCGGCTACGCGGCGGGCATTTGCTGGCTGCTGTCTTGCTGTTGCGCGCTGGCGCGGCAGGGGCGAGTGAATTTGGTTGCGTGCGGCTGCTTTGCCAGACAGTATCTACAAGATTAGCTACATGTAAAAAACTGGCACGGGCCACGCCACCACGTGCTCGGCAGTATTCGCCGGCCAGCGAACTTGTGTTTTTCGCAACACGGTATACACATCAGCAAAAGATATAGCGCCTTGTGATTGGTTGCTTCGATTTGCTTTGGGGCCATTGACAAGAGAACAAATAAAACGCCCATTTTAGTGCGTTCGATTTGCTCCCGAAGTTAACCTGGGTCTACTCCGGCCAGTTCCCTAAATACGTTCGCTTTGGCAGTCACCGTGTATTTTTCCCGTTACCCGGGTCAACCCGGGTGAGAATGAAGTGAGCGGCTCCGCCGAGGTGGCTCACTTGGGGGGAAGTCTCCCACAATCGCATTGCAACCATGGCACGAGCATGGCGACGAATATTCAATTGCGGGGATCAGTGCTGCAATGCAATGAGCAGTGTGACATGTGACTGCGTCGTGTTCTGCCCTCCACGGACGCGCCTGAGTGGCATCACGCCATCGACTGTTTACTCTCTGCGGACACATCGCCTCCAACCTCACGCACCCCTTCATTTACTTTTTGTGGCAGTTTTCATCATTTGTACAAGATAATTTCTGAAGAAGTAAAAAGGGAGAGCAATAAATACATATTATAGAAGTCTATCCTCTATCCTCTCAGCCGCTCATTCTTAGATTCATTAAATAATAAAGATTGGAACAATTGCTATTCTTTTTTTACCTTGTCACTGGCAATCCAATGATAATTAACGCTGGGGTTAACATCGCAAAAAACCGTTCGTTTATCTCCTAACCCAGATGCCGTTCGATTTCGTACCTAGGTTAACCACAGGTGGGCCTCTGGGATAGCAAATCGAACGCACTATTTGCTAAATGTTCTGTTTGGGTTTATGACCGCCGTAGATAAGTAGTTTTTCTGATGTATTTCCATGAAATAACATATCTTTCGATCATTGAATATAACATATAAATCACTATATAATTGTCAATTCTTTCTTGGCAAATGTGTTATTTTCATCTCAATCCTTTAAAGTTATGAGAGGGTCTGGGCTCATCGTAATATTGCTAACGTACGTATTACAGCCACTCGTAGTGCTTCTACGCAAGGATCGAGGAAAGCCGAGGCGCAAGGGCTACGACAGTCACTACTAGAGCGCTACGACGGTACTATAGTACTAGGGCTACGACAGTACTAGAGCTATACGTATCTCGTACTCGTTGACGCTAGTAGTAGTAATTAACTAGTACGTTAGTAGTCGTAGTAGTAGCCTAGTGTCCTTAACCTGAGGTCCAGCTGAAACGTAAACTAATCGGACCACTGGCACGAACATAAACAGAATTCGGCAGCTAGAACTATAAGCTAAAGAAGTAACGACGGTAGAACCCTCTCATAACTTAAGCTTCCGATGAAAATAACAGAATTTGCACAAAGAATTGCGATTTATAGTATATTATATGGTTATACATAATGGAGTAAAATATGTGTCTTTCATGGAAAATACATCAGAAAACTTTATACTTATCTATATGCGGTCATAAACCAAAACAAACGATTTAGAAAAGCGGTGTTTGTTCTTTTGTCCTTGAAGGTTTTTCTTCAGTCAAGCAAATCAGTGAAGAAACGGCTGATATTTTGGGTATAATTCACTGAAACCATGTTGTTTTTAAAGAAAAACATACTAAAAACTACTTTAACCCTCACTTACAGAAGTTTCGGGAGTTTTTGGTAGAT